CAGCCCGGACACTGGCAGAACGAATGCCCCCAGTACACTCCCTTTCACTGGCGCCCGGCCAACCCCTCTGCCCTTCTTCCCACTTCCGCCACAGGCTCCGTCCTCTGTGTCACCTTGACTCGGCTCCTGAGCTTGGTACCTGTGCCCCTTCCCCTCCCACGCCTGCGGGACCCCCGACAACACACTTTAACCCTTTCCCCCTGTAGGCAACAGCTGGCAAATAACCCTCCAGCTATTCCTTGCCAGTCCCTGGGGATGGATCATGGGCATTCTGAACATTTAAAGAACTTGGGGGTTTTATTCAGCTTGTGTTTCATTGGAATGGCCTGTGTGCATTTCTAAATGTAATTATCAGAAATTTGGAAGGAGAAAATAGTTGCGCACAGGCCTCGGGGAGTCCATCTGGCTTAGCAGAAGCTCCAAGCCACACTCTGACTGTGGCTATCTCTCCCTACACTGTCACCTCAGAACCAATGTCTCAGCTCACACTGGTGCACACATGAAGGCTGCCTCACGACGCACACTCATGTCCAGGAGAAGAAGGTAACTTTGGAGAAACGACAGCACCGGAGTCTCTATGTCCCTAAATGGCATGGGTTTCCACAATGGGAAAAGCAGTCCAAGTCAAAACCGAGTGTGCTGAGTGCAGGCACTTGGAACAAAGGGGCAGCGTCACCCTCCAGAGTCCCCTGCCTGGGCACTTCCATGTTTGCCTCCAATCTTCTACTTGGTTAAGAAGAGCATTTGCAAGCTGGGCGTGGTCCCAGCACTCATGAGGCTGAGGCAGGAGGATCACTGCAAGTTCATGGCCAGCCAGGGTTACATCATGAGACCTTGTCTCAAAAATACAAAAACCAAAAACAAAAATTTGGCTTAAGGTCTTTTTTTTTTTTTTGGTACCGGGATCAAACTCAGGTCCTTGCACTTGCACAGCAGGCAGCGAAACCACTGAGCTAAATCCCTGGCCCCTTGCTCAAGGGCTTAACCCAAACAAATAAAGATTCAGAAGGATTAAATTAAAGAGATAAAGATTTTGGTTCCTAAATTCCTGATGGACCTGTTGCTGGGGCTAGATGGTTCCAACTAGAAAGTAAACAGAGTAATGTTAATCTAGGCAACTCTAGAGTCCACAGACGAAGTGATGTTCATAATTTTTATTAACTCATTTATTCACGAAGTAAAAGGGGAAGACCTTTGAGGATAATTACAAAATGGATTCATTCATCCAACATAGATTTATGGAGTACAAATGGAACCTAAGTAATGATCAGAAGTCCAAGTGACGTGGCAGAGCATGTTTTAGGGAAGATGAAGTGGGCATCTTCTGCTATGACAAAGAAGGCCTTGTTCTTTGGGGGGAAAGAGTAAATATTTACATAGCAATACTCTTCCTGTGATCCCTAAAGAACGCTTTATATTTTCCAAGGTATTCTAGGAAGCTAACTTATTCCAAAACCTAAAAGCTGCTGAAATAAGGGGAGGAGCAAAAGGCAGCTGCAGAAAGGAAGGGACCTGGCCATAGTAAAAGGAAAGAGATTGTGAGCTAAGAGGTATATAAAAAGGTGAGAAATTCACTGAGTTTGTCAGAGAGGTAGCCGAAAAGGGGGTAAAGTCCTGAGAAAAGAACAGTGTCATTTTGTCTTATTTAAGAAAAGCTCTTGCTAAATTGCCCAGGAGGGCCTCAAGGTTGGCAATCCTCCTGCCTCAGCCTCCCAAGTGGCTGGAATGACAGGAGTGCACCAGCACACCCAGCTCTAGTGGTGCTGTTTGGGATTTATGGCCCAGAGGCAAGGCCAGGCTTCTAATTAACTCGCCTGGTCTGCCCACAGGTCTGTACAGGCTCGGCAGCTGGGCAGGATAGAACAGAGCACATAACCTGGCTTGACTTTCCTTCTACTTCTTTTTTCTTCCTCCCTCCTTCCTTCATTTCTTCCTTCCTTCCCAGACACAGGCACCCATCACTTCCAACAGAACTGTCCTTGCAGTCTTGACACCCACCACAACCCCGACCTCGGGCTTCGTTCCCGAGCTTGGAGCGAGGCCACAGTCTCCAGGCGGCGTCCATGGCGGCCGGTTCTCACTGCTCTGGGCCCCTGCCCTCCAGGCCTCTGCTCCAGGAGTCCCTGGGACTTCACTCGGGCTCCACTCTGCCTACAATGGCCTGCGCCCCCTTGGTCAGGGAAGACTGTGCCCCCCTGCTCCAGGCACCCAGCCATCTTCTCCCCCATCACTCCCCGTGTCATGGCAGGTGTGACCAACTGTGCACACCCCCCTTAGACGCAGAGTCACCGGAACACAGAGACCACGCATCCTTCTCAGCTTTGTATCCTAGCATTTGTCACAATACCCAATCCAAAGAAATCAGTGCATCTTTGCTTAATTAAAGAAATCAGATACCATCTTAGGTCAACAGAGAAAGGCTGTCCCTCTGGAAGCTCTTCCTATCCAATGCCACCCAACCTCTACGTCCAACAAGCATGTCACTAGCTCCTCGACACCAAGGTAGCAGCCCCCAGGACTTGGGAAGCCCTGCAGTGCTCAGGGGCTCTTGCCAACCTCATCTGATACTGACCATTCTCCACTCTGGACACGATTTCCAGAAACACCTACCTCCCTTCACTTCTCAGGCATGCAGTCCTCGCTTGCTCCTCTCAGCTCCGCACCTGCTGTCTTGTCTGCCTGGAATTCCTCCTGACTGCTGTCTGCCAGAACATTCTTGCTTATTATTTCTCTGGGGCCGATTGCTATCTTCTCAGTGAAGCCAGCTCTGACCTCTCCTTGCTGGTCTCCCAAGTGCTCATGGCTCCGTGGGCCCCTCCAGTACAGCAGTTGTCTTCTTTTGAGTACATCACACAATCACCTCGGAAGGGAGCTCTCCCATCACACCTACGTTCGTGGTGAATTTGAGGTAAACACTGCTCTACCACTTCTCTGGAGCAAGACTGGGCAAACCTTCTCCGCCAAGGGCCAGAGCGTATTCTAGGATTGGTAGGTTTTTCAGTCTCTGTCACAAGTACTCACCTCTCACCACAGTGCAAAAGCAACCATAGCAAATACATGGTTGTATTCTTGTGAAAGTTAATTGTACAAAACCAGGTGGAAAGTCTCCTTTGGGCCATAGTTCACTCGTCTCAGTTCTAGGGACTTCATCACAGTTCATCAAATCAAAATAGATCTGATAATGTGGGAAACTGAAACCTGACCTCTGCCCTCAAATTATTCCCTTATCCTGTGCCCAAATTGTCGGTAGTCTCAGTCTTTTCTTTTTTGGTATCAGGGATCGAACTCGGGTCCTCACACTTGCACAGCAGGCGGTGAAACCACTGAGCTAAATCCCCGGCCCAGTAGTCTCAGCCTTTAAGCAGTTACTCTTCAGACAATCCACAGTCAATACTCAATAACTGGTTGTAAGTCAGGAATCAGTGAGAAAGCAGTTAGGATTCCATTAGGCAGTAAGGACAGCCACCCCAAAATGGAATCGAGAAGCCCAGAAACACCTGGGTAGGCATCTTCTGGCTGTCTGGGACCTTTGAGAATGACCAGGCAGCCACTGGCTCAAGGGCACATGGGCTCTGCATGGCACTGCATGAGCAATGCACAGATTGGACCCTGAAAAGCATGTGGTCTCCTATGGGGTAGACAGCATATCATTTGTGCAATGGGCCAAGCTCCCTTCTAAACCCCTTAAAAGCCCCTAGACAGAGAGGCTCTATGGGTATCCGGCTCAGGACCCTCTCCCAGCCAGCAGGAGCTTTACCTCATTGCCTTTATATCTTTTAAATACATTTGCTTACACCCCACCTCCTCCAACCATGGTTTCATTCTTCATCATCAGTGGACACGACCCCAGTGTCCCAGTGTCTTAGTTACTTTTCTCTCATTGCTGAGACAAAATACCTGACACCCAAATTTAAAGGGAGAAAGGTTTATTTGGCTCACAGTGTGTAGAAGTTTCAGTCCATAATCAGCTGGCTCCAAGGCAGGGCGGCCTGGCAGAGGGGCTTTGCAGAGGAGAAACAGTTCATGGCAAGCAGAAGACAGCAAAAGCAAACAAGAAAGGGACAACCACAGCTCTTCCTGTCCCTTTTATTTTCTGTCCCAGCTACTTAGGGCAGGTAACAGTCACACCCTTAATCCCAGTGCCCTTTAACCTAGCAGTGCATCATGAGTCAATTCCAAGGTCACACACTCTAGATGCAGCCACCTCTGAAAAAGCCCCGCCTATGACTGCCTGAGGCTTTGGGGGACCTCTAGACACAGCCATGACATCCGGTTTCAGTGACAGAGCTGAGCTGAATGGGATGGACATAGAGCCCTAAGGCCGACGCCTCTGCAAAGCTCCCACCCCTAACCTGACTCTAAGGACAAATTAAACCTTAACTACATGCTCTTCACCCTAGTGCTGACCTCCTGAAAATAAGCAAGCTCTATTTCTATGATGAGCATCTACTCCAGGGCCCCATACTGTGCCTCCCACATATACCTGGCTTTCATCTCAGTTTCTGGTTTCATCAGTTATGAAAACAACACTGCCAAAAGAAGCAGGCAATTAGAAATAAGCTGCCAACAACAGTGGGCCACAAGGTTCACACTGAGCAGCAAGATGTCCAGGTGTTCCCAAGTGTTGGTCCACAGCACTCATCAGCACTGCTCCAACCCTGATCTTCACATATAGAGAACGTAATAATCAGAAAAATGGATGGGGGAAAATCAAGTTAGGAAAGGAGATGCTTGTTGAGTTCTGAACCTCTTGAGGGCAGGGATCATTCTTGTTCACCTTTGCACAGACAGAGTAAGTGACACATACTGAGAAGTGTTTGGTGACGATGAATGAATGAATTAGTGAAGCTGTGGCCTGAGATAATTAAGTCTGCCAAGTGCACGCATTGTCCAAATCCCCTCGAGTAGTCTTTAAAATAAGAAGTACCCAGAGGGAGTTGGAAACGCTTTCGGGTGTAAAAGGGAAGACACCCAGGACCTCCTTTCTCCAGCAGACTCACCGTCTCTAGTGTTTGCACTCAGGATTTGGGTTCGCAGTTCCTCCAGGCTGATTCCCAGGCACCTGCAGATCTCCTCGGGGCTGTAGGGCTCTGGGTGAAGGGCGTCGTCTGTGACCAACAGCATGTCTTCCAGGCTGATCCCTAGTTGGGCCTGCACCTCCTCCAGCCGAAGGACTTTGTCCCATTGCAGGCTTTTGTGCTTAGCCAGGAGCTACAAATGGAAATCAAGATAATGGTCAGTCTCCACTTCAGCATTTGATATGTGCCATTTTAACTAGCTGGATTCCATTTTTAGCTGTTTGGTCATTCTGTTTTGTTTCGTTTCCATTCAACCTGTCCAAATTCCCCACCATTGCTTGGCAATGCTTACTGGGTTCAGATGTTTGGAATTAAACATGCCAACATGCCCATATGACTCTCAGGCTAGTTGAGTACTGGTGCTGAAACACATACACACACACACACACACACACACACACACACACACACACACACGCTTAACTAATACCCCCGCTGATTTTTCTTCCAGACAATACTTTTCCCTCGGGGCTATTTCTTGGAATAATTTCATCCTTTGCTCCCTATTCAGTCCACCCCCTTGCACATCCTTCTGTATCAAGTCTAGAGAAAACTACTTGAATCTCATGTGACCTGGATCCCCAATTTCATTAGAGCGCTTCCTGTTTACCACAAGCCTCTTTGAAAATGGCTAATGAGTTTAAGTGTCTGGGAGTTTGGAGTAAACTCCCAGATTTTAAATGAAAACCTCATTGGTGACCTTATGAAAAATCTCTTCATCAGGTCGCCAGTAGAAGCAGAGCTGTGTGTGTCTCTGCCCTCCAGAAAAAGCTTGGCTTCCAGTTGTGCCCTGAGGCAGCTCTACAAGCAGGGCAAAGCACTCACCAGCTCCATCCATGGGACCCCAGCCCAGATTCCTTCTGCTTCTCTTTCTCCCCAAACCACTGCCAACCCTCAGAACAGGTAACAATCAAAACTGCCGATTTCTCTTGCCCAGATCTAAACAATTCATTGCCTGGGTGTGAGGACAGCAGGTGCAAAAAGAAGTGAGCAAGGGAATGGGAAATTTGTCTTCAGGAAATGTGTGTCTGATTTGCTCTGCTATTATGCTGATGATCTGATTTTCTTTCCTTTCTACAGGAAGCAGGATTTACCAAAGACTGTTAAGATTTGGTTAGGAACACTCACTTCTAAAGAATGTTAATAACAACTTTTCACATTCATTAATTATCTTTTTAATATCCCTGGCTCATACATTTGAAAGAAGTTAATGATTTTAAGGCAGAGCTAAGAAAAGAGACAATAGAATTAGGTTTTCTGTTCAATTATTTTGCAGAACATGGTACCATGTTTAAAAGCAAGGACATGAGCTAAGACCTTTCTTCTGGCCTTGTTTGCTTAACTCATTTAGTTAATGTTGGTTAGCTGTACTGGGTTGATAGCTCTAAACTGACTTATTCATTCATTTACGGAATTCATTCATTCATGGTCTATACTGCAATGTATACAAAACTAATTTAAGAAAATTTATAAAGACATATGTAATATAAAACTAACAAAGAAATACAATATATCTTATATGGAAAGAAAGCTGAAGTCAATAACACTACAATAACACTTTCTAGTATAACATATCCAGAATGTAACAAAAATAATAAAATAAAATTGCTGTGTGATTTTAAAGGTATTTTTAAATTTCTCCTTATTTTCAACAACTCTGTGAGATAGGAAAAGAGAGTATAGTATTTTGCTCCATGTAGGAAATGAGAGGATAGTATTTTTCCAAGATCACCTAACTAGTAAATATCAGAGTTGGAAGTGGAATCCACAACCTACAGCTCTTTCCTTCTTCAAAGCCAGGTTCTCAGTCTCCCAGTGATGCTCATGAGTTCAAATCACCACCCAGGTCTTAAAATGTATTTCTAAGCATGAGCTAAGGTTTGTGCTAGGAGAGAACACTCCAATGACTAAAAACACTTTGACAAATGGATTCCTTCTGGGGGAAGAAAGGGAAAGGAAAACATCAGAGAACATCCCTCATGATAAAAGTGGGCACTTTCTTTTTCTATTAGTACACGTTTGTAGCACATAATGTTCACATTCCTTGTGTGAAGTTGCTGCATGTAAATGACACATCTTAATTCCTTCTTTCATCCTTTACCCCTTGCCTTGATCCCCCCCCTTCCTCTGTGAGAAGGATCTAGCTCCCTAGCTCCCTATATCTACCGTTCATTTTGCTCTTTATTTAGACTTTGGGCTCTAAGAGTCTTTCAGTCAGTTCGGCCCCACTGTCGCCCAGGGCCCACCTGGCCCGGAGCTGTGGTGCGCACAGCCCGCGTTGCCACGTGTCAGTGACATCAGCCCGTGCCGTCCACCAGAGCTGAGCAGCCTGAGCGTCAAATGCACCACACTGAGGGAGGAAAACAGGAAAGCCACTGAAGCCGTTAGAAATTTGGCTGAGGAAGCAGAAAGATGACTTGCAGATGAGGGAGGAGGGTGCCCAAGATTGCTGTTGCTCAAAGACAGAAATTCGTGAGGGAATCCTTCAGTGTGGCCCTGGTGCCTGGCCTACCTTACATGTGTGAGCAGGGCTGAGGCAGGGCACCTGGTCTTTTCGTCACAAGTTCCTCACTCAGAAGTGGGGTAGGAAATCAGAGAAAGAAGTTCTTTGGAACATTCCCCGTCTCCTTTTCACCCCAGGAAATACTGACTGCACTTCTGGGAGGTTCCTGTGCCACTTGGTGTGGACAGGACAGCAGACCACGAGTGCTTCGTTCACAGTCGTGGAAAGAAGCGTCAAGAAAAGGACTGGGAGCCTGACTCAGCTTGGCTTCTCTCAGAAGCAGTCCTGGAAATATTATTAGCCTTTGAGGACAAGGACACTGGCAAGCTGATGCTAAGAAGCTCTGGCAGAGAAGTGGAGAACAAGGCCAACAGGACACCAGTGATGTGGGCAGGCAAGGGGCCTACAGGTGTAAATTCGGATGTGGCCCACCCAGGGCCGGGGGAGCTGGGGCGCCCTTCACTCCAGCCTATCCTCACAGGCGGAAGCCGCTCCCCAGGGTATTAACTCCCTGGTCATCCCAAAACAAACTAAAATACCAAGTGCTCTCCTCCACCCAGGAAAAGTCCCCTGTCCAAGGCTGGCCGCAGATGCCAAGAAGATGTTGCAGGGAGAGTGCAAGGACAGGGACCCTAAGTCAGGAGCACCCACCAGAATCCGCCTTTCTGACTTTCTCCTTGCATTTAGGAGCATTAATCTGTCAACAGAAAAAGTACAAAGTCTTCTCGCCACAGGTCAGAGAAGGGGAAGGGGAAAAATTACTTCTAGAACAGCAATTCATTCCACAAGCTACTTTTCACACAACAAAAGCATCTGTGGTGTTGTTTCTGGTTATACAGTATAAATCACATATGCTTATTGTAAAATTTTCAAGCAACACATAGAAGTATGAAGTACAAAAAAAAAACACCCTAAAATAAATCATCTGTAATCATTCCAATGAGCTAACTACCCGCTGCCATTTTGATAACCCTCCTATCCCACATTTCTTTATGCAAACCTACACACATAGTTTGCCATAAATAGGGCCACAAATTGCTGCTTTTATTGTGGATACTTTCTCATCTTCCCCTTGTTCCAACTACAGAGCCCTTCCCCAGTATTCACCGTGGTTGGCTCTGCCATGACTGTGCACCATTCCTAACCACTACGAACACATTCACCACCTTGACCTTGCCCTATCTTAGTCATCTTTGTGGTCATGTTCTACAGAGTAGTTTTCAGGCCACAGAATCAGCCTGGCTGTGCAGAATGGACCTACTACAATCCTTCTTGACCTTAGCACATCCTCTCCTTCCTCCAAGGCAATCCTGAGCATTGTGCTCAGGATTCCATCCATGCCTGACTCCTAAGAGATATGTGGGAAAGAGCAGAGGCTAAACTGGCCTGCACTTCACTCTTTTAAACACTGTTTTTTTTGTTTTTGTTTTTGGTACCAGGGATCAAACTCAGGTCCTTGCACTTGCACAGCAGGTGGCGAAACCACTGAGCTAAATCCCCAGCCCTTAAAACACTGTTTTAAAAGATTTACCTTAATAAATCAGTTCCTTAGCACAAACAATCAACAAATGGGATCTCTTCTTATTAAAAGGCTTCTGCACAGCAAGAGAAACCACCAGCAGTGTGAAGAGACAACCCACAATGTGGGAAAAAAATCTTCACCTGCTCTTCCTCAGACAAAGGTCTACTATCTCGAATCTATAAAGAACTTAAAAAGATCAGACCTCCCAAATTTAAAGACCCAATCCAAAAATGAGCATCTGAAATGAACAGACATTTCTCAGACAAAGAAGTAGAAATAGCAAATAAATACATTAAAAAATGTTCAACATCACTGGTCATTCGAGAGATGCAAATGAAAACAATGCTGAGATTCCAGCTCACTCCAGAAACAATGGCTGCTATCATGACATCAACCAATAACAAATGCTGGTGGGGCTGTGGGGAAAGAGGAACCCTGCTCCACTGCTGGTGGGAGTGTAGACTGGTGCAACCACTGTGGAAATCGGTATGGAGATACCTCAAAGAACTAGGACTGGAAATCCCATTTGACCCTGCTATTCCACTGCTGGGGATCTTCCCCAAAGAATTAAAAGAATCATACCACAGTGATATATGTGCACCCATGTTCATAGCAGCACAGTTTGTGATAGCTAAAACTTGGAAACAGCTCAAATGCCCATCAACTGGAGACTGGATAAAGAAAATGTGGTTTTTTTATAAAATGGAATACTACTCAGCCATAAAAAATGAGAAATTAGAGACATTTATAGCTAAGTGGATGCACATTGAGGCGATACTCTTAAGTGAAATAAATAGGACACACATGTGTAAATACCAAATAGTTTCTCTGGTGTGAGAAACTAAAAGTGTAAATAAGGACTAAATGTATAATAGGTCATGTGAAATAGGAAGAAAAGGGGAAAAGAGGAAGGAAGTGGGAGGGCTAGGGGAAAGGATAGAAGGGAATGGGATTAATATGAGAAAATGGAAAAATAGGAACAAAATCTTTGTAAATAGGGAGGAATGGAGGGGTTGAAGGGAGGGCTGGGCAAGGGTGAAAAATAAGAACCAAGAGAGACTATGCAAAGGTGCAAATTTCCAATGATGAATGTCATTATATTGTATAC